ACATACACACACACACATACATAAACACATAAACACAAACACGCACACACACATGCACACTGTTCCACTTTCGGACACAACTGTCTGTGCTCGTTTCAATGATCGCACCGTCATCAAGCAAAAACCTAATTGCGTACGGATATAATATGAACCTCAAAAAATGATTAATAATTGCGACATATTTGTAGGGCATTGTTATAATAATGTTTTTATCACTTTTAAATTCTTTGCCTGATAAGTGTCTCCTACAAAGTGCACTTGAGGAATGATATACGTGGTATGCTGGCCGTCCGAAAGTATTACCCTGCCCCCATTTGTGTGTGACGTGCGCATGAGTGCGCCAGCTTACTGCAGCTATGCAAATGTGCCGTAGTATTTAACGTCGAGTCGAGAGGGGTGTCTTTCGTTTGGTTCGACTCGACACAGGCCAATCTTTGTCAGTTCGGAGTTCAGATCTTCAGCCAGACGGAATTCTCATTTCCAACTGGTCAAAACTTTCCCTAAGTTTCGAGCTCCGAGCTCACATACTCTCACAGTCTGTGCCGTGGTAGAAATTCGATAGCAGTTTGTGACATTGCGCACAGTCACTTTTTTGAAAAGCAACGGGTCGACCAAAAGGTCGTGTGTCGAGCAGGGCTTTTAAACATCTCTCTATAATTTATTGCTATTGTTGAGGTGTAGGCCTACGTGTCGGATTTCAGAGTGGGCGCTGGTCTACTTTTTCGAATTGGAAAATAATGTATTCGAACAGGAAGGTTAGTTTGTCGTTCTGTTGAATTTACGTCTCTCTCTCTCTCTCTCTCTCTCTCTCTCTCTCTCTCTCTCTCTCTCACTCACTCTTGTTAACGCCATGTGTGCATATTTTTGTCGTCATCTGTGTGTATGTGTGTTTGCGTTTATATATGTGTGTTATCTGTGTACGAATGTGAGCACAGCAATCGCATTAATCTCCAAGCTGGTCTTGAGACTCCCTAAAACTGATACCAAACCTTTGTTCCGGACATAATACAGCACAACACTCTATTACCCTGACAGAACAGGCAACAAATGGACGTGTTTATAAACTGCCAACACTTGTTCATCGCTTGTACAAGCAAAACGTCAGGTCGTTGAGCATGTTATGGTGGGTCTTATTGGATTCCACAAGAACGGAGAACGGAAAGAAAGAAAGAAAGAAAGAAAGAAAGAAAGAAAGAAAGAAACGGCCGTAACAGAACCTGTCCTACAATTGACACTTACGTGATAAAACAACAAATGAAAATGGATGGATTTCTTCTCGATCTGACTCCACATAAACAGACGCCTACCTTCGAACAAAAAATGTATGTGTTAGTGGCATTAATTTATTCGTGCCAGAGGTGTGGTTGCTGTAAAATGAAAATGGACTTTGTTGTGTTAAACACAGTGGCGTCCCTTCGACCATGAAGACACGACAACACCGTCACGTGAACGTGATCAATTTACTGATTGGTGACTTCTGTTTATGGATTTTGATTTGTATGTTCCGTTTCATTATTTAATTTCTTATTTTTCATTTGTCTGTGGCGGTTGAGGAACGGTTGTGGGGGG